TGTCAGGGGCCCAACCTTGTATCCTTGGGAGAGGCACTTTGCACAAATTTTCCTCACTTCACCCAGGTGGAAATGGGTACCCGGCTATAGACAGTGAAAGATCTTGTCAGTTTGGAAGTGTTTGAGCACGTGAAATCCGCAGCTTGCACTGTATGCTTCCGCGGAAGCCGAGAATGTTTCTGGGTGTTCTCAGAGGGTCTGCTGGGGTAATAATAGTTGTAAAGCGCATAGAACATGCTCTTGAGCGTGGATATGCGCTATATAAATACAATTATTATTATTTTATTTTTTTGCGGGTATATGTTTTACGGCGCTCGCAACTGCATAAGGTCATATGAGCGCACGGGACACATTAAACATTTTCAGTCAGTAGGGAATTTTGAATTTTGCCAGGGTTGCGGCCGAAGCTTACTCTGTTCGATTTTGGACCACCAAAGGATCTGTAATATGCGCAACCTGCACACTGGACCTCCCAGATTTTTCGGCATTGTCCGAAATGGCTCTGTGTAGATCTTTTCTACCTTAAGATCAGGGGTGTGGCTGAAAGACAGCAGTAAGAAAGAGCTAATTAGTAGTAGTAGAAAGGCTGCAGAAAGAGTCAGGAGCCCAGAGGTGAGGGAGTGGGGGCAGAAAGTGGAGACGAAAGCAAACGACAAAACACTGCTAAATTAGGTAAGGACATGAAAGGAGACAATTTAAGAGAAGAAAAAATATTTCCGTCGCTATTCCGGTTCGAACCCGGGACCTATTGAATGAGAGGCGAGCACCTTAACCTGTAGGCCACGAAAGCCCCCCAGTGTATATTATGCTTTGAAAACTTTGCTGTCTGCAAAAGTAGAGCAACCACTGTGTATCTGTAGTCAGATCTTTGAAAAGGAAAAGGATAAAAAAAACCCACCTCAATATCCCAAACATTCATGCCAGAACCGAGCATGTGGAAACTAAATAAGTGTAAGAAGTGTATTCGTCTTTCGATCATCTTTTACAACCCTGGTCTTTAGAGGGTATTAATACGCTGTGCATTCGTATATAGATGACCGTTTACTGTTGTTAATTATTTACTGAGCACAACATGAAGCGAAAGAGTGGTCAATAATTATTAATTGATTGCCCCTTTATTTTCGTCTATTTCACAACGGTATCACAAGGTCAGAACGTACGTTATAGAAGGGAGGTAAATGGGATAGACTATTTGTGCCTTAAATCAGGAAAATTAATCTCGGCTGTCCCCCTTTTCTCATCCTCGTCGATACGCAGTCCCTCAGCTCCTTGACACTCTGTCTGGGCCTACAATCAAATACTATATCTGAAATATTTCTGGTAAACATTGCCGGGCTGCATTATCCTGCTTGACTACGACTTCAAATTGACAGTTCAAGTAGATGATGGTGGTGGTCGTTGTGGAAATGATGATGATGATGATGATGATGATGATGATGATGATGATGATTATGATGATGATGATGATGATGATAATGATGATGATGAAGTATCGTCATCAATGTGCATTCTTCAAAAATCAGGAGCGGTCAGAGGTGATCACCACGTACGCCATGTGTGGTATATCAGCGTTCCCTGCCATTGGATTCTGTATGGGAACTTTGATACCCATGTGTCCTCGACGCAAACCGGTTGTGGTTGACCTCGTCATCAGTGCCTTCGTCGCCGGGAATGTAGCCAACATTATGACCGGCGCTATTGCAGGTGATGGGTTAAATGTATTACTTTGATTTCTTGTTTGTTTGTTTTTTAAAGATATTTTTAACTGTAGTCTTTCCTAAAATAGCATGCCTTGTTTCTTGTATGAACATGGCTCCCGTTTATTGTGCTAAATTAAATATTAATACCCCCCCCCAATCCCCCCAAAAGAAGTATGATCTGTTGTTTATTTCATGGAGGTTGCATTGTCAACAAGAGCGAGGGCGGTTGGTGTAAAGTAAGTATGTTGTGGTTTGCTTCTTCGATCACTATTTGCTGTCTTCCTTTGCTACCTTCCTTCATTCTTATGTTTGTTACTCTCTTTAAACTCTAATCTTCAGCAATTGCATGACTTAAAGTGCTTCAATGGGTGTAAAATCTACATCAAACCATACTAATTCATAGATTATATTTTAAAAAATTTTGTTTTCTTTCTGTTGGTGTTGTTTTACTCTCTCTCATTTAAAGGTTTGCAAAATGCCACGAGGCAATGTTTTAAACCCCTTCCCACCCCCAGACAATGACTTGAATGTCTTAAACAACTCTGTAGATACTTTCAGACAATGCTTTTGATACCCTGTGCGTGTCTCCGTCCCCAGGCGTCATGTTCTCCGACACAGCCATCCCTCTGCCTCACTGACCAACCTCCCGTCGACCTCACACTCACAGTGATAAGGAAGGTGCTGCTGCCTGATCCTTGTACAAATTTAAAGCTCTTCCGAGAAAGGGTCAGCTGATTTTTTTCGCTATTTCTGTGATGTTTCCTCTCAGCTCTGTGCACTGGTTGAAAGCCAGGTGCTTCATCTTTAAAAGGAATTACATTGCTTGTAATACCACGTTGAATTGAGAAGAAAATAAAATACTCAACGTTATCAGGTCACTTCACAGGCGGAGATGATAACGATCTTCATTTCAAACAAAATGTCTAAGTCTTCAACAGGGCACCCTCCCTATTTTATCGAAGCCTCAAAACAGGGACAACTTCTCTCACCAGATATTTTATGGGCATTGATTCAATGTCCATAGATAAATTGGTATTTTTAAAAAACAAAATTATGGAATTCAATTTAGGGACCAAAGTTGTCAAGATGATTGAATTCTTTAAAAAGAAAAGTCATGAAATGCTATTGGGCCCAAACAGGCCGATTATTGATGATACTGTTAATGAATTCGACAATCTGTTCAATCAGATTTTCTTTCAGCATTGAATGTTTTAGATATCTCTCACTGTACATTTCTTCCAAGTAATAAAGGCGATTGTTAAAGAGATATAATTTTATGTCCTATGGAAAAATAAGCACGGCTGATTATGAAAAAACATGTCAGAGATATATCTGATCAATAACTTTTATATTGATGTTTTATTGGTCGATTTATGTTCTTACCCGATAATGCACATAATACAAGTTATCGTAAATTACTTCAAGGTACGTTTGATGAGGTCAGATCCCGATGGACTCTGTTACTTGATTAAGCTCCCTCCACCTCTCTATAGCCACCATGACAAACACTTTCTGAACCTTCATTATGAAACCTTAAACACTATTGCCATGTCAGGTTGAGCAGGTTCTTTCAAATAGCTTTACAACTGTTCGTTCCTAACATCTTCAATTTAATGTAAAAATAATATACAAGTCTGCCTATTTCCATCAGAAGGGTGATTTGTCATGTTACTTATCGTTGTGCTAGTAACCAGATTTACATTCGGTAGATATTTTACTTTTACTCTATAATATAGTGCTGTAAACACGCTGGGGCAACTGACGTCTATTTTTATTTTTTTTGGTTGTGTACAACTGTGATAAGAACACCAAGGGCTTGATCTTCGTTAAGGAGAACCCAAACACAGCTATGTGACTTTGCTTTGTTCTTTTTTGTGGAAAGGGTTGGAGAAAGAAAAAGGGGGAGAGAGAGAGAGAGAGAGAGAGAGAGAGAGAGAAAGGGGGGGGGGGGGGGGGGGGTGTGGTGTTCAGGAGCGGAATTGCCTTTCAATACTTTCATCATGCAAATCGTGTTCCCCAATGGCTGCAGGTTCCGTTCAGGTCAATTGTCAATGCCGTAATTCTCTGTTTGATTGGTGTACTCTCAAAGCCTGAGCTAGCAGTCCTTACAAAAGTAATAGAAAATCATACATGATAAAATAAATCAGTAGAAACACCCTTCATGCCGTCAACTAAGGGAGGAGAAAATAATGGGACTAAAAAAAACCCATTGTCCAGATAACAGTGAGAAAGAGAGAGTGGTAAGGGTAAGCCAAAACAAAATGTTAGATAAAGATAATTTTATAGTCATGATTGCACTCATAATACTCCTTTTTGCTCTGTACTGAGCGGTATGCATACATGTTTTCAGTGATTATTGCGGATTTGACATTTAAAAAATGTATTTCACCGCAGAACAGACCCACTGAACTCTGCGATATTCCAGAATATAACCCTTATTCTCTCTTGCCCC